GTAGCCTAATTCAAGTTTAGTTAATTTCACAGCCTTAAAAATATAAATTCTAGAGCCTGGGGATGTGGCTCAAGCGGTAACGCACTTGCCTAGCATGCACAGGACACTGGGTTCAATCCTCAGCACCACATAAAAATAAAATAAAGATGTTGTGACCACCGAAAACTGAAAAATAAATATTAAAAAATTCTCTCTCAAAAATAAATAAATAAATAAATTCTAGAAGCTTTATGGATAAACCTTAATCTAGTGTAAAGGAATCAGCAAATTCAATATATAGTACCTGACAGATGAATAGAGTTACCCCCATTGAGCCTAGAATCTGCATTATTAATACAAAGGCTATCTAATCTGCATACCTTTATATCAATGCTAATAGTCACTAGCTACAACTACAAGTACACACTTAATAGCAAGTCTTATGGTTTTGAGTACTAAGTGTAAAGGAAGAGGAAAAATCAGATAAAAAGGAAACTAAACGAAAATTTAAGGACAAAACATTACCCTATCCAAGAGAGAGAAGAAAAACAGGAACATAAAATTAGAAAACGTTGTCACATCCAAGACACTCAAACTCATTCTTAACTCATTCATCTGAAACAATTCTTAACATATATATATTTTTTTCCTGGTAAAATGAAGTCTTGGGTTTTAACAACTTGCTCTCCTGGTTTACAGTGTATTTGTTAATTCACAGCATACCTTCATGACCAAGTCCTGCCTTCTTCAGTCATTTTGCTATTATTGTTCATGCTGTATTTCCAGGGCCTAATAAAAGCGCTAAACACATAAATTGTCAAATGAATAACAACTCTTAGAGGAAGGTATTATTACCACCCTGGTTTTACAGATGAGGAAACAAAGGTGTAACAAGATGAAGTAATTTGACTAGGAATTACAAACCACTAACCAGAAACAAACCCAAGTCTGACCACAAGTCCTTGCTTATACCATACTCTTAGTGGGCTACTGACAGCATAACTTCTTTTTGTTTGTTTATTTAATTTTTTGGTACTGAGAATTGAACCCAGGGGTGCTTTACCACTGAGCTTTTTATTTTTTGAGACAGGGTCTTGCTAAGTTGCTTAAGCTGACCTCAAACTGTGCTCTTCCTGCCTCAGCCTCCTCAGTCACTGGAATTGCAGGTATGTGTCACTGTGCCTGACCAGAAAAACTTCTTAATATCTGGTACTTCAGTGTCTTACTGGTGACAGACAGCTCTCTCTTCTTAGGGAAGGCTCAATTTAAGCATCATCTTCTCCATCAACCTTTTCCTGGGCATTCTCAATCTCTGATTCCCCTTAGGGACCCATGTAGACTTCTCTCTTTTTTATGCTGGGCTGTCTCCAGACTACTAACTTTAACAGTACTTTAGCCCTTTGCTCTACTTCTGTCAACTCAAAGCTTATTGAGGGTAGGAATCAAGTATGTTGAAGTGCTCTGGCTCATAATTAAAGTTGATTTGCTGCTAAATATCCTATTTGCAAAGGACAAGCCACTATAAGAGAACAGTCTGGCCCAAAATGCAAATATTGACAAGGAGGAGAAACTCAGGCTAGAAATTTCCTTCCTGGATTCATGTAGCTCTTCTCCTTCATGAATAAAGGTCTATGAATTTCTCTGTAACCCATCAATAATGGCCCCCCCAACAAAAATATAAATAAAACAAAGATATGTGTCCATTACAACTAAAAATAAAAAATAAAGAGCAATTGTTTTATTAAAAAAAAAAAAAAAAAAGTTCAGATTTTCCAGGTGTGCTAGGGCATACCTGTAATCCCAGCATCTTGGGAAGCTGAGGCAGAAGGATTTCAAGTTCAAAGCCAGCCTCAGCAATTTAGCAAGGCCCTAAGCACCTCAGCAAGACTTTGTCTCTAAATAAAATTTTACAAAGGGCTGGGAATGTGGTTCAGTGGTTAAGCACCTCTGGGTTCAATCCCTGGTACAAAAAAAAAAAAAAGAGTTCTGTTTTCATCCTTCATCACTCTGCATTCCCTTACACTGCCACAGTCATACTGTTTACCCAAACTTTTACACCTCTCTCTGAACTCCTAACTTACTGAGGGCAGGAATTGAGTGTCCTCAAGTGCTTCTGGCTCACAGTAAACTAATAATAAAGTTTATTATAGGGCTGAGGATGTGGCTCAGTGGTAGAGCACTTGCCTGGCATGTGTGAGGCACTGAGTTCAATCCTCAGCACCATATAAAAAAATGAATTAATTAAATTATGGTATTTTTTTTTAAAGTTTATTATAAACTTTTTGGAATACCAAAAATGTATTCTACCTTTAATCAATCTTTATGTGTGGACAAGTATGTTGTCTCTAATTGACTGTACCATTCCTTTGCTAGAATGCTTTCCTTGGACAGAAGATGCAAATAAGAAAACAAAATCACTATTAATCCTTTCCCCTTGGAGGAATAAGAGGAAAGAGTCAAATAAATGTTTGATGGATGAATAAATGAACAAACAATCCCTAAAAATTCCTGAGACAAAAAAGAACCCTTTAGCTAGGTTCAGTAACCTCAGGCAACCAGAAACTAGCTTTCCTTCACTTGGGGGTGGAAAGAATGTGCTTGAAATTCCCTGCCCACACCACAAAAACAGCATCACTGTGCTACTGTACTATATTAAGGCAACTTTTTCAAGTTTTCAAATATTGAATGAAAGGACAATATAGTGTGAAAATTTCAAGGGCTAAGAATACACTTAATTTTTTTTTTTTTTTGCAACAGGATCTCACTATGTTTGCCAGACTGGCCTCTCTTAGGCTTGTGAATAGCTGGAACTACAAGGTACATCACCAAACTCTATCCTGTAAAAGTAGTCTACCTGAATAGAACAACATCTTTCAACATTGAAAGTTTGGGTCATTAAATTACTGTTTTCTGTGATTTTGTGAGAGCAATTTTATTTTTATAACCCTACACTTAAAAAATGCAACATCATAAATCCACCATACTGACTTAACACACCTATAAGAACATGAACTGCTTGACTTATACAAAATAGGAAAATAGAACCTATGTGTAGGTAAAAAGGCATTCAATAAATATGCTATTATGCTGTCATCTGTAAACCTTTCTAAAAGCACATGTGGCCTATTTTAGACTAATGAATACTAGTAAGCATTTATTACGTAGTTTTAATTTCACTGGTATGAATACCAGGTTCAAATTATATCTAAACAAAAACCAGGTTTTGTTTGTTTTTACATGGGATGTGAAGGGTTGAACTGTCTATCCATTTAATACTATATGAGTTGTAAGAAATTTCGTATTCTGGCTTGAAGAATTCATAACAAGTGTTTAGCTAAACCAATTTCAGGATACATGTTTTAGGGTAGAAATTTTTTTTACACAATCTGTAATTAAGTCACGATCTGTTATTTTACTCCTTTTATTAACACTACTTTCTGAGCAATGTCTAGCTCCACATATAAGTAGACTAGGATATAGTAAAGCTGGGACACTGAAATTTCACAATTGCAGCACATTAAATAATTTCTTTGCAAATTAACATTTTCCAATTATTTACAAGCAGATTTATATTAAAAGGGGGGGGGATATTTTGTCAAGTTAGACTTCTGGCTTCTCAGTTTATAGAAGACTGCTCCCTCCCCAACCCTGTCCCCCAGCAGTTCCCTCCCCTGCCAGGAATTTATCTTGACTCATCTCTGCCCATTTTAACCATCACTTCCTTGGAGAACTGGCTCAAGATTCAGCTCTTTGAAAAAGTCCACACTGGGTAAGCCCATCTCCATCAACTTAATTCCTAACTTTGCATTCCCTTGGCACTTATACATACTTTGCACTACAAAAATCAAAGTCCTCCCTCTAACTTATTTTGCACTTTTTCTATCATTTCCCCAACTAGAGACCAAGTAGGAACAGCATCTTCTTTTATATTATCTTTTACAAAGCCAACAATAAATGCTTCTGGAATATTTGAATCACCAGTGAAATATTTGAATCATCAGTTTTTTCCATACTCTTCATTTTCATTACTCTATTACCAATGACAGGCATGAGTCCGTGAGGAGAGGAGAGTTAATTTTTTAATTTTATTTTCTGAGGGGCCTCAAACATGCTAGGCAAGGACTGTACCAGAGCCACATCCCCAGCCCCAGATGATGGGATTTATTTTTGCTTCATCCCACAAATTCATAATAAAATATCCAGAACACAGATCATATACATACTTTTAAGGTAAAGAATAATCTTGGCTATCCAAACATTTCTTGTGATGTACCATTTCAAGTTTCTTATGAAACGTCTCCTAGTCTTGAAGCAGCATGCCTGTCAGCGGTAGGAAGCTGGCACCAGTCTCTTGCAAAAGGGGCAAAACTCTAGTTGGCAGTAAACTTTCAAACACGTGAGCCTCCACTGTTAAACAAGGCTCATTAACCACACAAACTTGCTGTTTCAGCTCTCTGGCTTCAATGAAGTGCTATGATCTCCTTTAGTTATTGTTGAGAGCCAATGATGGGTTAAATTCCCATAAATTAACCAGCACTTTGATGGTTTACCCAAGCATACCGGTGGCATCGGAGTGGATGGCTCGCTTTCTTTCTTTCTTTTTAATAGACCCGCCCGCCTGAGAAGCCAGAATGGAGTGAAGAAAAGAGCCAACCCGGCATTTCTTAGCAAGCAAAAGGAGAACTACAGAACTGGAGCCGATCGGCCTCCTCCTAGTTCTTAGTGTCAGCTTATCGTACAGAGGGGGGAGCTTCACAAGCTGCTGCTCTTTGCTAAATCTCAGTCGAGTTCCTCGGGGGCAGCAAGCCACACTTAGGCTAGGGCTGCCCAACTTTTCCTGCAAGGAGCATCAGTTTTTCCATACTCAGAGACCCAGAAAGGGGGGGGTTTGCAGTGAGGGGCGGAGGGAACCGGTTCGCCCCTCAAAGGGTAGCAGAAATAAGGTGCGCGCGGGTGAGCCCAGGCCGTCGCCGCCGCCCGCCCGCCCGCCCGGCCCCGCTCACCCGCCCGGCCCCGCTCACCCTCGAGCAGCACCTCCTTGCCCGCGCGCTTCAGCGCCTGCACGGCCTGGTCGTGGGTGGCCTGGCGCAGGTCCGTGCCATTCACCGACAGGATGGCGTCGCCCAGCTGCAGCGCCCGGCTCTGGTCGGCCGCCAGTCCCGGGAAGATCTTGGAGATGAGAATCGGCATCCGGTTCTCGCGGCCGCCCTTGATGCTGATGCCCAGGCCGCCCGCCTCTTGCTTCACCACCCGCACCCGGCGCACTGGCGGCGACGCGCCCGCCTCTCCCGTGGGGCCCCGAGGCGGCGCAGGAGGGCTCGGGGGCCCCAGGCCGCGGCTCGGGCTCCCAGGTAGCGAGTCGCCGGCGCCGCCGCCGTTCGGGAGGCCGTTGAAGGCGGCCGCCGCCGGCCCCAGAGTGGGCTCCGACTCGGCCGCCGCGGCGTCGCCCGTCAAGCTCAGACACTCCCCGCTCAGCTCGGCCACCACTCGGACCCAGCGCTCTCTCAGGAGCAGCTCCACCAGCCCCGCTTTAGTGGCCCGTGTCCACACCGCCATGGCCGGCCCCGCTCCCGCCGCCTCTGTTGCCGGAGCTACCCTCATTCTAGTCAGGCAGCCTCCGCGCTTCCCCCTTCCCGCCCGAGGGGGCGGGCCCAGCCCCTCCCCCGCGGCGATTCACTATTCATGAGGGCCACGCCCACCTTCCGGAGGGACGCGGAGAGGCCGGTGCTGCAGCTTCCGGGAGGTAAAGAAGTTGTCCGGTCTCTCTCGCGTTCACATCCCCAGCGCGATGGTGTTCTCACCTTCTCCCTCCGTTTGTTCCCCACATACCCCCAAACTCCTGACCTTTACCAAAAGGGCTCTTTGGACACGAAAAGCAAAATCAGCACGGAGCACACTGAAAGCTTGCAGGACTTGGGTGGTACGTTTATTCTTGCATTGACTGGTTCAATCCATATGCACTGAGCGCTCAGCCGGTTTATCTCCCAGGCGCTCCTTTTGAGGCCTGGGAGATAAACTAAATAAAATGTACCACAGCTGAGGGCTTGTGGTCTTCTGGGACAGAAAAACAGAACCAACCAACTAGGTGTGATACTATGTGGTTAAGAGACTGTAGAAAACTTACCCAGAGCACAATTAAAAGAACATTTGGATGGGCCTGGAGTCAACTTTACAGAGGTAACAATGGAGGAAATAGTTCAAGCTCCAAGGGTTTGAAGGTGTGAATGCAAAACTTTCTCACCCTGCTTTGTAACATGTAAATAAAGACATGGGGTCATGTGTCCATAAGCCCTGCAGCCACAATAGGCAGGCCTCGAAGATACTTGCAAAATGGTTTAGGGTTTCCAGAGGAACAGACCAATGGGATATACAGATATATGGAGTTATCATGAAGGATTGGCCACAAGATTACAAAGGCTACATCTCACAATCTGGCATCTGCAAGTTTGAACCTCAAGAAAATTGGTTGGTGTACTTCAAATCCAAACCCAAAGGCCTACGAACCAAAGACAATGATGTAAGTCTAAAACCAAAGGCTTGAAAAGTGGGTGGGGAAGGTGGTGTCTATGATGTAAGTTCTGGTCCCAGTCCCAAGGACTGAGAACTAGGAGCACCCAGGTCTGAGTATAAGCGGGATGTCCCAGCTCATGCAGAGTGAATTGGCCCTTCTCTGCCTTTTGGTTCTATTTCAGCCCTCCACTGATTCCTTGCCCAAGTTGGTGAAGACAATCTTCTTTATTTGGTCTACAATTCAAATGTTAACCTCATTTAGAAATACCCTCACAGACACACCCAAATAACAGTTTACTAGTTATCTAAGCATCTCTTAGCTCAGTCAAGTTAACACACAAAATTAACCATTGCAGATGGTTACTTAGGAAGATGTCAGAATTCTAGTGTGAATAAAGTATAGTGTTAAGTGGAAGTGATGGGACGAGTATGAGAAGCTTCATGTAATCAAATATTGAAGAGTTTGAAATGGACTATAGATATGACTTTCTTAGCCTAAGGGCCATCATCACCTTTGCTGGGGCACATGTAGATAAGCATCTCAAAAAAATGCATGCAAAATTGGTCTCTAAGATATGTTTTGGAACCTGTGACTTTTAATCAATTCACAGAGAAATCCCATGACCAAAGGCCATAAGCCACCACTGTACACATGGCAGAACCTGCTAGACTTCTGTCTGAAAATATGAGTGATGTATGTAATCTACTCGCATTTCAGCTCCATGAGATAGAGGAGCTGAGGAAACTGAGGACCAGAGAGTTAAAGATTCTGGCCTGAAGTCCACATTGAGGAAGCAGACAAACTTAACTCTCCCAGTCTCCTTGTTCCAGTGCTTTGTTCACTATAGAAATCAGACCTCAAAAATCAGAGGTTCAGAAATTACACTGTTGAGGAGGCAAGCTCTCAGCAAATCATGAGGTCAATATGACCTCTAACTTTCCTTTCTTTACCAGTAACAGCAAAATCCCCATGCTTTTATTTGGACAGGGACAGGGGCAAGCAGATGGAGTGTGCACCAATTCCTGCAAAGGGGACTGTTTATTTGCTTGCTCAGGAAGTACATACTGAGGCTCTTAAACCATAGCCATGTACCACTCTATAAAAGCACATTCATATACAGACAGAAACTTCCAAAGAGCCTCCTGTACCAGAAGTTAAAACAATAAAAATAAAGGCTGGGAAGCATCTAGAACTCAAATGAAAGAATTCAAAATGAGATGTTATCTTACCAAAAAAATCATTATTGTAGAATTTTCATTGTGATTAGTGGAGCAAGATTTTCTAAGCAGCAAATGTCAGCCAAAGCTCAACCCTCCAGTCCTCTCCTAAATCAACTGCAAGTGAAGGCAGCCAACTACTAGCAGGTTCCAATGTGCCCAAGTGCACCTGCAGTCACAGACATTTATGGCTTTGCTCCAGCTGAGGCGTGAGCCCCAGAGGCCTGAGTTGTGATTTTCTGCTTATTAGAGAGCATTTGGCAGCTGATTCCTTAGAGTATGAACACTATTTTTAACACTTTTGCATATGTCATCACCCAGGGGTTGGACAGTTAAGGACACCTTTATTAGCAAAAGGGAAGTGCTGGAAATTCTTCCCAAGAGTATCATGGACTTTTTGTCAATAGAGTTGGAGGAAGCCTCCTATCTAATTAATAGTAAGGGCACTTACATAAGATAATAAGTTATATAATAAAATATTTAACCCTGAGAGCACAGAAGGTAAAGGAGTTTGGTGTTTGGATTACTTGAGTGTTTCCTTTAAAAAGTTATTTAAAAATCTATCCATAAAAAAATTCCCAATCTATCTAGTGAGGCCCTAAGCAACTTAGTGAGATCCTGTCTCAAAATAAAAGGGGCTGGGGATGTGGCTAAGTGGTTAAGCACCCTAGGCTTAATCCTTTGTACAAAAAAAAAAAAAACCCAAACTATCAAATTGTATTTACATAGGGCCTTCATTAGAATCCAAATGAGCTTTTCAACATTCTCTTTCATCACCACCTTTAGGTCTGCTAATGAGTCATTTGTCTCCCAGTGACGTCTCCCAGTCTCCCACGTTCTACTTGAGTCTTTCCTTCCAGATGCCTTCTGCCACCTTCAATCACTTTCCCACCTGGCAATAGACATGTTCCCTGACTACACAATTCATTGGGATTTTCCCTTTGAACAATTTAATTGTATGCCTGGCTGGTTTGCTCAAGTAGATTATAAACTACAGGAGGGCAGAGACCACCCATCAACTTATTTTTACTCCCCACTATTCCAGAAATATTGCCTTGCTAGGAAGGAACTCATTAAACACATGATTGATTGAAATTCAGTGCTTTCTGTGCTACATCTTTTCAAATAATTCCCCTGAAGGTTATTGGTTCCTTGCAGGGTGAAAAATTACCATCTAGGAAATCTCAAGTAGTCAATGGAAATCTACTTACTGTGGATAATGCAATCTGAAATAAAAAGGGTACACATCTGTTTCCACAGTTTCCTAAGGACAGCAAGAGAAGCTTAGATAATTCTTTGAACAGGCAGGTTATATTTTATCTACCTCTTAAAAAGGAAGTGGCTTAGATAATTCCTAATAACCTTTCATTCCGGTCACTTATCAGTATCTATTCCCCTCTGCTCAAGCTGTTATCTTACTATTTCTCAGAACTGGCAGACATCATTGCTCCTTTAAAATAGGTTGTATTAGCTCTCTGGGTTCCATAATTTCATCCTACAATTCTATGATTCAGGCTGTGATTTTATGTTCTCTTGAAACACAGTGTTCAATAATTTTTCCTTCTCCAACATAGTAAAAATAGGGTACAGCATAATAATTAAGAATGTGGATTCAGGGGCTAGGGCTGTAGCTCAATGGTAGAGCGCTTGCCTAGCATGTGAGAGCACTGGGTTCGATACCTTGTATAAATAAATAAAATAAAGGTCCACTGACAACTAAAAAAAATTCTTTTTTAAAGAGAGTGAGAGAGAGAATTTTTTTTTTTTAGAGAGAGTTTTTTAATATTTATTTTTCAGTTCTCGGCGGACACAACATCTTTGTATGTGGTGCTGAGGATCAAACCCGGGCCACGCATGCCAGGCGAGCGCGCTACCACTTGAGCCACATCCCCAGCCCAAGAGAGAGAATTTTTTAATATTTATTTTTTTTAGTTATTGGCAGACACAACATCTTTGTATGTGGTGCTGAGGATTGAACCCGGGCCACACACATGCCAGGCGAGTGCGCTACTGCTTGAGCCACATCCCCAGCCCTAAAAAAAATTCTTAAAAAAGAAAATGTGGGTTCAAATAAGTTTGGCTACTTATTAGCTATATAATGGTCAAAGGGCTGAGGTAATGGGCTTCAGTTTCTTCTCAGAAAAATTCAGATACCTTCTGCTTCTAAGGGGATTGTGAGGGTTGTCAACATGCTGAACAGCATAGTACTATCACAAGGCACCAATCCCATTAAAAAGTACCAGCTTCGTGCTGGGGTTGTGGCTCAAGGGTAGAGCACATGCAATCATCAGCACCATGTAAAAATAAGTAAAATAAAGTTATTATGTTCAACTACAACTAAAAAATAAATAATAAAAAAAGTATCAGCTGCTATTGTTAGTAACTGTTGACCTTGACCAGAAACAATAAAACCTTTGGTAGAAACTCTCCAGCTGAGATTCTATACTTATCTAGGAATGGGTCTGCCATAATACCATTTGATTCTAGGTATAAAGGGCAAATGGCCAAATTTATTTCAGTAACAAACAAGTCTTGTATAAAGCTACACTTTTGCTGAAAAGGAACATACATTGCCAAGAGTCCGTCAAAGAAAAGAATTAGTGGATGTGGGGCTGCTTCCAAGGTTTGAGTGTTGTGTAATTTCATAAGGAAGGAGCGCTCCAGGCAAAATTGCAGCCTTTAGCAAGCCTGAAGGTCACTGCCACAAAAGCTGCCTGACGCCAGACAACAAAAGCAGGAGCTGCTCAATTACTACTAAGAAAGAGGCTAAAGGGATTTGAAAATAAACTTATAAAATAACCAATCCAACATCCAACTTTGAAAAATTATCCACACATAACTCTTCCCTAGTTAGAAAACAGTGAATCAATGATCTCTTTTAATGGACAGTACTATGTTGCCTTTC